AGGGGCGGTGAAAATGTTTGCTGTTTGCTGCACCACAAATTGCGTCAACGACGTCAACGGCTGTCCAACCGCAAGTCGTATGTAAAAATACAAGCAGAAAAGAGAGAGAGAGAGAGAGAGAGAGGAGGAAGAAGAGGAAAACAAGGCCAGACATACGACACGGTGTTGCACAAGGCTCTGTGTCAGTACTTTGTACAAGAACCATACTGTACACGCACTGACAGCTGGGAGCTCGTCTCGTTCTCGAGTGTGACTGGCTGACGATGGGAGAGGGAGTTTGTGTGTGTGGGGAGGGGAGCTGTTCTTCCTTGGAACGCTATCAAGTGGGCCCGTCGGCTCGGTTTGGTACGGAGTTAGTGCGCTGCCGGGCCAAAATATGGGTCCCCGCAAGATGCTAGCAGCTGGGAGCTGGGACTTGGGAGACAGGGGACCCACCCGCACCTCCCAGGCCCCCCAGGTTCAGCTGCGTCGGGCACTTTGCAACTGGGCTGTTGGGCTGCTGGGCTTTTGGGCTTTAGGCGGACTTTGGTGGAAGACTCGACATTTCGTCTAGGTGCTAGCGTCTACCAGTGCTTCCTATACCCAGTAGGAAGGGCCGGCTACGGCAGGCGAGACCCGCGCTGGGGGGGGGGGGTGGGGGGGTGGCAGGGCCAGGGTGGGATAGAGAGAGCGACCAGCCAGCCTCGGAGCTGATTGCCCAATCACAGGGCCCGGTTTTCGAGAAGCTAACCACAAATGCAGTATACGGCCGCGCAGGAGAACGCGCCAGGGCGCCAAATGCACCAAAATCGAGAAGGTGGAAACGAAAAGATCAGAAGGTTGGGCAACAAATGGGCAAATCCTTTCATGGAAGGCACTGGGAAACAGGGTCAGCGTTTCCTGTGTCCTGTGCGTCGAGGTGCCTAAAAATAATGACAGAATTCGGGAGTGTGGCTAGCAGAAATGGAACGGCGCATTTCGATTGGCCAGAAGGCGCACACGGCCTTGTCCAGGCAAGAATCGTGCGTGGAAGTGTTGCTCCAAACATTGTCGGCATGGACATGTTTTGTTGAGAGAGCTATCAAGAAGATAGTCAACATGAGCAAGTACATCACGAGTGTCGTCGAGTCATTTTGGCGCGTCACTAAAAAGCCACAGTGGCAGGACGGAAAGTTGGGGGGAGCACGTACAGAAAGGAGAGACTGGATACTGGCGAGCGTGTAAATTATGTGCCCACGGCTACATACCCCATTCCGATTACGTTGGCTTTGGACACGCTGTAGGTGTTGCCGTGATGCGATTTTGTGTTTGTCCCGATTGTTGTGGCGGGAATTTGCGAGGTTTTGCGAAGTTTTGCAAGTGTGACAGCGTTTTGTCTGGGCTTTTGCTGGCTTTTGGCGCTGGCTTCTGGGGGACCAACCTGATCGGCTTACTGCCGCGTGGGTAAGATTACACCGCGCAGCGCCCGTAATTGCTCAATGCCCTGGTCTCAGCCCTGGGCTGGCCCGTGCTGGGGAGTCAATCTTGGTGCATGCCATCGTAACGTCATATCACTGCGCTGTAGGATTTTCTTCTTTCCTCCGGATTTGCGTTGGTCGTGTCCCTGTCCTTGTCACTGTTTATCCTACAAATACAGCCAGTGTATCATCCAATATCTGTCTGTTTTCTTTTGTCTCAGCCATATCCATCTATCAGCACTTGGTTGGCCTTTGCTTCCGCCCAGGGCCGTATGTGTACCTGAACGATCACGTCCATGTCCCGCCCACTTTGCCTTTTGTACCCTCAGCTGTCCCCCTGTCTCCTCTCCTCTTTCGCCTCCCCGTGCCTCCCTTGCGTTGCGCCGGTGTGCTTTTCTCCCCTGGCCATCCGAGACTTTTTGATGCAACCATACGGAGCAAATTACGCTGTAGCGACGAATCCAAGATCGCATACACATGTTCAGTTGTCCAATCCGTAACAACGCCCAACACCGACGCTAGAAAGGGACGGAGGGCGTGCAAGATTGTTTCGACGGCTTGGAACCAGGTGCTGGCTCGGCCACTACCGTCGATCGCTCCTCGCTTGGGCGTAGATGGGTCTCACAACAGCCTCTGGCGTCAGTTGTCTTCACAACATATGGGTCTTCGATGGGCAAATCATAGAATCGTACGTACGCAGTCCTCCAAACTCACATGTATTTTGTCTTGAATGTTTCCCCATTCGTGCATTAGGCTCCATGATTTATTTTCTCCTTTTCGTTGGCAATATTTAGATACGATGGCAATACGTCAAAGCCAAGATCATCGAGTGACGGGTGCTGATGGTAGATGGATATTGACAAGAATGCATTGTATCCGGAAGCACAGTAAGAGAAATACAAGCTTGTAGTGACCAGGGCACATCCTCGATAGCATGCGAGGATTAAGAGGAACGGAGAAAATGTGGGGGAAGAAGTAGGAGACAGACAAAGAAGAGAATATCTTGCCTTGGCTATGCACTACTCCCAGTCAAAGACATCCACAAATGTTATAATTCCGACCTGTTCCTACAGTGCGTCGTGCCTGTACCTGCTTATCTCATAAAAGACAAAGTGCAAACCAAAGAGGCAACAGACTTTACCAAAAGGGCAAGATGCGAGCAGAATACTCGAGAACGTAAAACATAAGCAATAGTCAGCCAAAAGCTAATATATGCGGGACAACAACACCCCTCGCATGGCTAACAGAGGCTGAGGAGAGAATAAGTCGCTAAGCAACGGGGTGTGCATATTCGTCGCGTGTGGTGTGTCATGGTCCTAATTTTTCTTGATTTCCCTTGTTTTTTATGCACCATATTATTCTTCTTTCTTCGTGTTAAGACTTCCACACTGTTACTGTTCCGAACCAAGACACGTACCTTCACCTTCCCTTGTCTGTCGCCATGCTCTCTGGCCAATGCTACTCTGTTTAATGTCTCTCTTGACTGAACACGGCCCCGTAAGACAAGACCCTGATCAACTGTGCTCGAGCACGAGTGGCCCAGCTAATGAAAACGAGTAACTCAAGTTTGTAGCCCGCGTCCGATGTACCCTACAGACCTCCAACAGACACCGGGACTTTCGGAAGCCTTAGGTTGACAAAATGAGAACCAGGGACGACGAGTCGACAGGTGACGGATGGCAGGTGACAGATGATAAGCGAACGGAGATTTTCTCCGCTCGACATTGCATTTGCAAGAGCGTTATATTGACTTCTTGTTTCTTTTCGACACTTCAAAAGTCTGACCTCGGAGCTTTGTCTTTCTCTTTCCTTTGTCCAGATACTGACATAGTCTCTGGGCATCTACCGTATCTAAGAATTGTTTCTTTTCTTTCTTTTTCTTTTTTTTTTTCTTTTTTTTTTTTTTTTTTTTTTTTTTTGGTCTCTTTGGCTATATTATCCGTCCTCCTCGGAGCACTCAGTCATATCCCGCATCCCTTATGTCTTGGTTCCTGGGCCCAGTTTTCAGAAAAGCTCATCATCGGGCATTTTATGAAACTTTGGTGCCTGTTCCTGGACCGGACTGTACTGCGCTGCAACCTGTGCCTGACTGTATGCCCATCTTGGAGTGTCCTTTCTCCCCATTAGTGTGCTCTTGGTGCCTTTATCCCGACAGAAAGGGCACACTTGGTGGGCAGAGTTGGCGACGAGCGTGCATTGGCCTGTTGTTCACAAGAAAGAAGCTGCATACAACATGAGACATGGAAGTGTCCTAAAAGAAATAAAATAAATAATAGGGCATCCGCGAAGCAAATAGGCACCCTTGTCTCACTTCTTATTCTTTTCCCACAGGAAACGCCCTCCACTGTTCCGTGTGCTTGTGTCTGCTTACGGTTCCCAAGCTCAAAAAAAAAGCCGATTGTCATCACGTCCCTTGCGTCAAACTCGGATCTCACAAAAGCGTAATCAACACAACACACCTACCTGCGCACTCCCAACGGACTATGCTTGCACGTAAGTTCCCCTCCTTTTTTTGGCTGTGTGCTCCTGCAGGAGGAGCAGAGTAGACAGATGCGGGGCGAGTGTATGCAGACAAGTAAACGAAAATGAGAATTAATAATCAGAACATATGAGGAGGAAAGAATCCACAAAAGTAGAGACAAAAAGGAGTGGAGACATCAAGTGAAAAGACGCCAAACCCAACATTATCAGAGAAAACGTAGATGTCGACATCGATACGAATCAAAAGGCCAAGGACCTATAAGGAGCACCTTCAAACCCTTTTCGGTCTCACAGAAGTGCAAAATAATGCCACGCCCCTGTTTATCCAGCCTCCCGTTACTTGTCTCATCGCCAGTTGCTTTTGTTACTTACCACCATTAGATCCGGTCCGATGTCAACAGACTAAACTGCCGATGGTTTCCGACGTTGCGTAAAACGGTTATATCTTGCAATGACACCCATTATTTCCGTCAAAACGCGTCGAGACACGGCGAAGCGCGTTCAACCGTCCAAGACTGCCCGAACCACGGTCTCAGAATGGACCGCTTTCGTGCAACAATAGTCTGTTGCACGCATTGCATGAACAAAGAAGACACTGCCAAAATGTGACCAAATGGGATATGCATCGACAAAGGAGCATAAAGACGAGTGATAAAAGAAAGGAGTTGTCTCATATGCATTTCATATGCAGGGCAAAGAACACGGAACAAAACGACACAACTCGCAAAATCCGACGCGGGAAGCAAAACAGAGAGAATATCGTCAGACGTGCCCATGCTGTCATCTTACGACGTATCTATACGAGCTCACATATCATAAAAATATGGAGTATAAATTTTCTCGTACATATGCAACACGTATACTATGTGTTATGCAGCCGGGGGTATTCTAAGCATGCTACGGCCGTTACGACCCGTCTCGTCCGTTGGATTTGACGCTGTCATGCTTTGATGCATTGTATCGCGCCATCCCATGCGGCTGCCCACGCACTCGCGCACTCACGCACACGCGCACACGCAGGTACACCTCCTATCCACATATGCATTAAGTGCCCGATGTCTGGGCCCAGTGCCGATCCAAGGCTCACAGCCGGGAGCTCGGCTTGCGGACAGCGCCACCACGGCCACCACGGCTGCCGTTGGCATCATTGGCACTGCTCGCACCAGCTGAAGTGTCTGACTTGTTGGACGGGGGCTTGCCGTTTTCTTCTTCGCTCAAGCTGCCCACATCGTCTCCGCCAACGCCGTCGCCTTCAGCCCCCTGCAGTGGCTCCGATTTGGCCTGCGCCCGGCCTGCCGATCCAAGCCGTCCGTGCTCCCTCCCTTGCTGCTGTGCACCTCCGCGACGTCCTTGTCCTCGTACTCCTTCTCGTCCACCCCCCTCCACGACCACGCCCAGTTCGAGGCCTGCATCCACAATGGCGCGTCGCTGTTTGCCACCTGCAGTCGTCGATGTGGGCAAGGACGGTGTTGGTGTCGAAGACGTCGCTGTTGGGATCCCCGCAAAGGCCTCGTCGTCGCCACTAAACCGCCTGCGTCGTGGCGTAGGCTCTTGGTTAGCTCTTATTCTGAAAGCAAACCTTGACCGTCTCCGTTTCCTTGCCCCCTCCTTTGGGGATGGGCCCATCTCGCCTCCTCTCTTATTGTCCCCTATTTCTCTTTCTCTCCGACGTGGTGCCTATTTTGTCCTTTGCATCAATTGTAAGACAAGACATCTCTTGACCACTGGTCAAAGCAGGTACCCATTGGCCACTCCACCTTGTTTGTGGGTTTTCACCTGCCTCTTTCTTCGTTTCTCGTTTTCCTTCTCAGCCAGTCGCGTCTCTTTGTTCTCGCTGCCTCCACCTGCCAAACTACAGGGTCTATCAACGCATGAAACGGTGGGTGCTCAGCACTCGACAAGCAGAAACGATACCACGGACGACGCGAATCCCTTCCCGTTTGCTCATCGATGCCTAGATGTAGTAGTGCCTCTTCGTTTCCTCCTCACATCTTGCATCTCGTGTTTTGCGTCCCTTGCCACGCTCTTTTTCAAACTAGGCTGTGTCTCCTTTTTATTCTTGCTTCTTTTTCTTTTGGTGCGTACGGTTGGACTCCACTCGAAGATGTACGGAGAAGCCAAAACAACAGAGGACGCCACGCCAAGAGGCTCAAGCCGACCTGCAAAAACGGACGTTGCAGGAGAGAAGAGGGGAAAGGCATCGAGAGACAAAGATGGGCAACGATAAACAGGGGAACGAGGAGAGAAGCATGAGAAGAGAGGAAAATAACGCATACAACTACAACGTAAACAAGAGGGAAGGGAGAAGACGTCTTGGTGGAGTGTCTACAGATGGTAAACAAGCAGAGCACGAACAAAAGGCAGAAACAGAGACAGAGACCGACACGCCAAAAAGAAGGGCAAGACAGAAACGGCGCCCGAACGAATGAAGAACCTCAAGAACAACAACGGCAAGAACGAAGGACTAGGGAAAGGGGCGACCCACCATCCGCGTTCCTCGCCCTCGCTGAGGAAGCTACAGTCGCAGTTCACAACGCAGTCCCAGCCGCCGCCAACGCCCTGGCCGCCTATCCATGCCTCGCCTGCCAGCGTATGAAACTGATCGTCCCATGGTGGCACGTGGCCGCGCAGTGTCGATGGTGATGGCGGTGGTAGCGGCTGTAGTGACTGTAGAGATTGCAGCGACGATACATTCCTGTGCTGAGGATGTGGGTATTGGTGATGCTGTTGTCCTGGCAGCTGTTGCCGTTGCTGTTTTTGTTGCTGTTGCTGTTGCTCAGACGGCGACTGCAATGTCCTCCGCCGAAACACACTCAGCCCGCACGTAAATGCGCCAAAGTCTTCCGTCTCGACGTCGTCTGGCACCTGTCCCGTCAGCACACGGCCCATTGCAATAATCGTCGCCGCGTGCGAGCACACTACAATCGCGCGCACGCCCTCGGCGTCGCACTGCCGCACAATGTGGTCCAGGGTCGCCGCTACGCGCGCGTGCAGCTGTGCCATGGACTCGCCGTTCCGGAGCGGGACCACGCCCGAACCCTGCCCGAGCGACTCGTAGCCCAGATCGATCCAGGGAAAGAAGTCGTCGTGCAGCTCCTTGAGCGGTGCGGGCTGCGGCTGGTCAAAGGGCGCCGGGCCAAACCAGTCGACGAGGCCTGAGTCGCAGCGGACAGCCCATCGCGGGGGAGGTGGTAATGGGCCTGGGCCTTGGCCATGACCGTGTCCATCGTAGGTGGGTGTAGGCTTCCCCGCCACAATCTCGACAAACGGCTGGATCGTCTGCAGACAGCGGTAGTACGGACTGCTGTAAATGCGCTCGACGGGCACGGGCATGGCACCGCTGGCCAGATGGGCGCCCAGCTCGCGAGACTGGTCAACGCCATGCGATGTCAAGGCCGGATCGGCCGGGATGCCCGTCGGAGAGGGTACAAACGCTGTGTAATCACCCGTCTTGGGGTTGACCACCCAGTTTGAGCGAAACTGCAGACAGTCAGTATATTCACAATTTCCGGATCAATAGCCAGCCTTCACGTACACCATGGCGAGCCACGTAAATATATTCGAGTGGCATCTTGACTGAAAGTCGATGAGGGATTGAGATGCCGAGTGGCAACGGAGAAGGAAGAAGGAGAGGAGAAGGAATAATGCTTTCACCTCGATAACATGGCGTTTTTCTCCAATATATCAGTATAGAGTAGAAAGTTAACGGATACGAATCCTGTCAAATACCAATTACAACAAGACGTTGCAGTTGGTGATGTTGAAGTCGGAGCTACTGCCTCGGCTTCCAAGTCGTCACGTGGTTGGTCGACATGCTGTCATGTGACTTTAACTTCACGTCGCTCTCCACGTACCAAGAAGCGCGATAAATGTAGGATATCATCTCTCTATACTACCGCTTTATAGAATGTTATAGATACAAGCCACGCCTATTGTTACACGTAAAACGACACCGCAAATGCCCTACTCGTCATCCTTCTTTGGCAATGCGCGACGCAGCGGCTCAAGCCCAAAGATCTCGTCGGAGGTCACCGTTCGAGGCCGACCGTCCGACGAACCGTCCATATTTGTATCCGCAAGAGGATCATCGTCACCGCTACTGCCTAGGGGTGACTGGTTGATCACCTCGCCGAACAAAAAGGCGTGCCGTGTCCGGCTCGCCGCATTAGGCCGTGGCGGTTTCTTGGGTGGAGAAGACGAACGCGCCCCATCGTCGTTGTGGCCACCGCCGTTGTTGTTAGCAAGACTACTAGCGGTGTCACCAGGTTCCAACATCCACGAAAACGAGGACTGGGCCAATGTTGAGCGAGTCGGGATCGTGTGCGGCTGCCGCCGGTCCGCAGGCGGCGGCGTTGGTTGCTTTGGTTGTGACTGCTGCATTGGCTGCGAAGTTGGTACCTCCAAATCTTCAGACTTGGGTCTTGTCGGCAGTGTTGGGGCCGTCTCGGCTTCAGGGACTTTCAATCCGCTATTTTCGACATCCACATCCATATAATCAGCATCGTCGTTTGCCGACAGAACCTCTGTCTGGGCCAATGGCGTCACAGGTCCACAGTCATTTTCTGGAGCCATGCTCTGAAGCAGCGGCGTTCGAGGTGCAGCGCTCGTGTCGGCAGCTGGTGATTTAGACTCTGTCGAGGCGGTCGTGACTCCGTGCTCCGGTGACGACTCTTTCTCAGATATTGACGTGGTAGTGTCTTCCGTCGTACCCTCCGTCGGGCTATTCGATTGCGGTTCGTCCACGGGCAGGCTGAGCGTCGAGTCCTCAAGGTGAACTTTGACAAATTGCACTTTGGCGGCAGCCAGCTCCACCTCTTCGAGCCACTTTTGCCACTGCTGTTCCTGCTCCTCCCATGCCACCGCCTTGTCTGTCTCACTCTTCTCTTCACCCGGTACGCCAGCGGCCGGCTTTGGAGGCGCTGCCCGTGCCACGGTCTTCAGAGTTGTCACTGTCTCATCAAGCATCTTGGCCAGCTGCTGGTTTCGTTGCTCCAGCTCCGTCATGATGCGCATGGCCTGGCCATAGGATATACGCTTGCCGTCTGGTGTTGGAGAGAACAGCGATGCGATGCCCTTTCCATCTCCGCCCGGGACACGGTTCGTAGCCGCAGCTTGCCGTGCGTCTTGATAGCTCTGGGCCATGTTGCGCTTAATTTCACCGACGGCGTCGCGGACTGCACGGTTGATTCCAAGTTTCTCGCCACGCTCCAAAACACCCTTTGCCGCGCCTTGGAACAGGGCTTCCATGCCTTCACGGCCCTGGAACAGTCGCGACGACGACGGTGATTGCGATGTCCCATCACCGCCGGCAGCCAAGCCCAGTCCTTCAGCAGATCCCGAGCCCGAGTTCGAGCCATGTCGCGACACACGTAATGGCGATCGTGCCACCTTGAGTGTGCGGCTCCGTATACTGCCCAGGCCTGCTGCAAAAGCGGCTGCTGGTGTCGTCGGTCGCGATGAGCTGGCGGGGGAGCTGCCGAGTGGTGAGAAAATGCGCGAAGGTGTACGGCCCGTGTACTTTAGAATCAAATTGGAACCTCCGGCTGCGTCGAGGTGGTCCCGCAGATAGACCGCATCGTCTACAAAGGTGTGAGGGCCATGCGGAGGTTGGGGTGCCGGGTATTTGAGCAGCGACTGCAAGGCCACTGAATAGTCCGCCTCGAGAACTGTCAACACCAATGTTAACAAATGTATTCATGAATGGTCCATCGATAAGTCAGAATGGGGCATTGGCTTACGCTTCCAGCGAATGCGAAGCAACATGGCGACAGATATAAGAGGGACGAGATGCAGTTTGGGGTCAAAAGCAAATATGCTGTCCCACAGAATCAGATGCTGCTTAAAGGGAAATTCCCGTCCAAAAAGAAGGCGGATCCACCGAATCAAGAAAATCTGTGGCAGAATCTCAATATTCTTGAGATGGATGGCCAGCTCCGGATCGACCTTCATCAGTGTTCCTTCATGAATCTCTTTGCTGAGCTCGACGATGGCGCTCTCTTCAGCTCCGTCGGCGAGGATGGTGGAAGAAGTCGGTAGAGGAGAGAAGGGGTCGCCCGTCGTCCCTGTCTCGTGCGTGCCAGGTTTGCCAGCCGCACTATGAGTACTGTTCATCTCGTAAAACGCCCGTGCCCGGCTCATGACCTTAACAAACAGGGCATAGGCGTCATGCTCTATAAAGCAGCCGTCCAACATCTCAATCATGTCGGCATCCTCGGCTGCCGACGCCTCTTCGAGGCTGTTGCTCTCAATGGCGTCCTCGTGGAGGACGTAGACAAGCGGCGCCAAGAGCTCATGCATACCCTGCCGGTAGCCGCCAGCGCCTGGGTTCTCTTTGCAGTACACAAATAACACGTCCAAGATGAGCATCTGGATCTCTTCCTGGTGGTAGAATGGATCGTCAGGGAGGCGCTGAACGTCCTGGAGGATCTCGGCCCGCACAAGCTCATCCCGTCGAAACGTATCCCAAGGTGACTAGTAAGGCATCAGTACAAACGGTGGCTTCTGCCAGGACCGTCTCTTCACCTTCCATGATGAGCACCCACCTCTGGGTCGTCCGCCAGCGGATCGACAGTCAACTCGGCCAGCCGCTCGGGGTGCTTGATGAAGCGCATGTAGGACCCGCGCATTGCCTCGTAGTCCTCACGGGCCTCGCGCAGAATGAGGCTGCGGTCGGTGGCCGAGTCCTCATCACGAAAGAGCAAAAAAGTCTTCCAGCAGACCGACCGGCAGCCGGCCTCACATGGGCTGCTGGGTCCATTGAACTTAACCGCCCGCTGCAGCGCGGGGAGATCGCCGCCGTCCTTTTGCGTTTCTTCCCATCGCTTCCTATCAGGGTGTCAGTAAGCCCGTACACTGCAAGATTTGAAAGAGGCCGGGCGGCCGGCCAGTCATGTGCGTCACAAGAGTCTCGAGTCACATAATTGACATTCTCATACCTGCTTTCGTCCAAAGTCCGCATGTTGCTCGGACGGCTGCCGCTATTGTCAAAAGGCGATCTGATAGGCGTGGCAATAAATGAGAAACAGACAACGGAAATCATAAACGAAAAGAAACTGCGTCAGATCGCCGGGAAACCCGCTGCTTTTGTTTCCTTTCCGTCGTCCCCGTTGGAACAATGACGCGCGATCAATGGCTCTCACACAACAGGCTTAGCGGCCTCGGAGGTCAGTTTCTTGGTAGGTTCCCCGCTAGCCAAACGAGAAGGCTGGAGGTTCAACGAATGTGACGGGGGCCCCACAGCAAGCCCCAACGTGCGCTCTCAGCCTATCAGATGTCGTCAGCTACGAGAGCTCCTTGGGCAGCTGGTCCCCTCGTGCTTGCCACGCCAGTGATTCGGAGCTCCATGCGTCTCACAACTTTGGACGGTAAACACTTTAAAAAAGGGAAAGCACGACCAACGCTTTCTGTAACGCAGCTGCTTCGAGGAGAACATTTGCAGCTACCACTTCCTGTCTCGGAAGGTGATTTGATCACGGCGGCCCATTGCCTCCTGCCTTTCCAATCAGGGGCAGGGAAAGGCAATGCAGGCCGTGACTCTTTCCCGTGATCCACCGACGGATACGATAAAGCTGTCTAATCTGCCAAAGAATGCATTTTATATATTAAATCTTCGATAAACTATGCACAACAGTACTGTTGAGCTTTACATCATTTTATAACTGATCAGAATTGTCTCTTCAGGCACTCCTCGGCCATCAGAGTGGGCCGTCTTGCTAGATCGAATCGCACGTGCCCCACCCTCACGGCTTTCAGCTCCCTAATTATCTAACTTGACGCCAGCCTTTCGCCAGGTTCACGAACGTCGACCTGCTTCTCTCTCCCAGACGTTCCCACATTCGGCGCACATTCACACCTGCCTCCCGGGCGGGACACTTCTCACAAGAGACTATGTCTGCGGACCTCTTTGCCCAGTTTGGCCCGTTCTCCGGCGGCAATACCCCGGCAAACCAGCAGCAGGGCCAAGGCCAGGCGCAGACGCAGACGCAGACGCATACGCAGACGCACACTGGCCCAGCGACCCAGAAATCCGATGACCCGTTTGCCTTTCTCAGCACGGCGTTTTCGCAACCATCTTCGTCACCAGTACCGCAACAACAACCACAAGCACCGGTCTCCCAATCCAATACACCGCGGCCGCAGCAATGGTCTTTTGGAGTACCACTGCAGCCGACCCAGCCGGCATTAAACTGGGGCAGCAGTGGCGCGGGCGCGTGGGGTGCGCCGGTAACCTCGGGAGCTCCGGCGGGTGAGGACGACGAGGATGACGATACCTGGGGTGACTTTGAGGAAGCTTCGACAGCGACGGAAGCTCGTCCACCACCGGTGGTAGCCCCGCCGACGAGTCAGGCAAGCCAGCCAGCTGCTCCTCCGTCCCAGCCTCAGGAACCGGCACGAACGCGTATCGTCCGGGCGTCCACAATGGACCTCATCTCAAATACACTCGTCAATTTCGGCGATGTGCCAGTTACCAACGCTCAACCGGCCGTAGCAGAACAGGCTATAAGTCCGAAGCCTCCGCCGCGTGATCCTTGGCGGAACCCCGTCCCGAAGTCCGCGCCAAAGGCGAAGCCGAAGCCAAACAAACCGGCTGATCCGAATGTCTTGTTCGATGCTGACGACTTTGATGTGGATGCTAGTTTTGATAGTGATGAGGACTATGAGGATGATGAATTTGGAGACTTTGAAACGGGTCACGCCTCGCCACCGCGGCCAGCAATGGCCACGTCAAGCCATTTCTCGTCTCGCCCACCGGCTTCATCACGATCTCCAGCTACGCAACAAGCAGCGACACCAGCTTCAGGTACGGCACTCGTTGATCTCTTGTCTCTGGACGACCCTGGACCTGCTGCGATGTCATCTTCGCTCCCTATTTCTCAGCCGCATGGCACGTCTACGCAAAATCGACCTGCTGCCAACCTTTTATCACCACTCAGCTTTGGTAGCACGTCCATGACAGCTCAAGCCAACCCACAAGCGCCCAAATCACCGTCATTTCAAGAGCGAAATCCCTTCCCTGGCCTAGCCGTTACAACTCCCGTCTCGGCTGAGTTTCCATCGGAAACGGCCAAGAATCGCACACCATCGCCTGTGACCGCCTGGCCGAGCTTGGACGCACCTGCGACCTCAGCAGCGGCCAGAAAAAAGAGTTCTCCGCCGCCAACAGAAGACGCCGATTGGGATGCTTGGGGCGTTGAAGGCCCTGCATCTTCACAACCAGAGCGCGTTCAAACGAAGAAGCTACCGGCTCCGACAAAAACACAGCCAAAGCCCCAGACAAAGAAGATGACCGCGGTTCCTGAGCCGGCGCCAGTGACGTCCGATTGGGATTGGGATGCTGAAGAGCCAAACCAAGAACCTGACCCGACAACATCGACAGCACAGCTTCCACCGGCCATTGCCAATGCCGCAGCACCCAGTACGATCTCCGATAAGACGCCACCGCCGACGAATGTTCCTCCGCCATCCGTGCTGCTCTCCTTATTCCCGACACTGATGGCTCTCCCGGATGAGGCACTGTTCAAGCCACTATCTGCACAGCCGGTGGAGGTTCGAAACCGCGTTATAGGCGACCCTAAGACCATCGCCTTCCTGCGCAACTACCTGCAAATCATTGTTGTAGCTGGCCGTGTCGCTGCTGGCCGGAAACAGCGCTGGCACCGCGACAAGTTTCTCTCCCAGAGCATGTCCATCTCTGCTGCAGGCAGCAGCAAAGGTGGCGGCATGAAGCTTGCTGGCCTGGACAAGGCACAAGGCCAGCGCGAAGATCGCGAGGCTGCTGATGTAGTTGCTGCTTGGCGCCGCCACGTCGGCAAGCTGCGCAGTACCGTGGCCACGGCCAATGCGGCCCTTGTAGCAGCCGAGGCGGCCGATCATAAACATTACCCGCCTCTCAAGATCCCGGAGCTGCAGAGTGCCACCATCCCTGTTACCGTCGCCAAAAAGGTGCCCACGTCCACCAAGCCGTGTGTCATCTGCGGTCTCAAGCGCGATGAGCGCGTGCGTGGCATCGATGGCGACGATGTCGATGATATTTTCAGCGAGTGGTGGGTGGAGCACTGGGGCCATCGCATGTGTAAGAACTTTTGGGCGGAACACGAGGCTGCACTACGTTCACGGTAGATTTTGAAAGCGCACGGTACTGTAAGACGACATGGTGGCGGCAAATGACCATAGATTTTGACATCCCATGTCTTGGATATCCTCCGTCCGATGATATTCTGGATTAGAGATAGTAGGCAGGATGCACTGCATCGATAGAGTGCTGCCCAACATACCGCATATATTTACAACCATCAAACGGCACCAACAGCCTTTATTTCGCTGTCTCGTTTAGTGTGCAACCGCAGAGTACTAGAATCTGATCAGTTGACTCCTCCTTCCTTAAATCGCGCTCTTTTGTCACCAAAGTTGAAATTTATTAAAATTTACCTCCGGGACGGTGGTCTTCTGGTCAAAACGAAATTATTATACTTGAGAGGTTTTGCTTGCAAACATTAGTAGTATTGAAAGTGCAAAATGTCAGCGAGGTGAGCACATGACGAGCAGAAATTACCCACCTGGCAGAAGGATGACGCGCCCAACAGCAAGGACGTCCGGTCGCTCTTTCCTACGATTCGCAGAACCGACAGATGTGATTGCGAATACGGACGCTGCAAAGAGGCAAGGTCCACCCGTGTTTGAACAAAGCCGTGCGTCGTGCCTTCCCCGCGACGCATGCTTTTGTTTGGGGGGCGAGGGGAATGCATGCGGTCTGTTCCTTCCTTGACGACGATTGGGTGGATTGGCCAGGAAGCTACATGCAGGAGGCAGGAAGTAGCACCAAGTCCAGCAAGAGCAGCTGCAGTCCCGATCCATGCTCCAAAGGGTGATTCGCACACGACAACGTAAAAATCCGCAAGTTTTGGGGGCATCTTGAGAGGCCATGCGAGACGATTCGAAAAACGGCCGTACTCTGGATAGGTCCTCCCGCCCCACCCCCCATTACTTCCCCATCACACTCTTAGCTGCATTTTGTTGCGTCCGTTTGCTCTTGCCCAGTTCAGTTTGCTCCTTCCCTCGCCTGCTTGGTTCCTTCTCTATTATGTCTCTGAGCTCCACATGCGCTCTGCTCTTTCCCTTCTCTCATTCACATTCGCTACTTCCTCATCACAATCGAGCCATTCACTCCTTCCGTACTGTGCGCATCCGCCCACCTGCCTTATTTCCCTTACCGTCGACGTATTCTCCTCCCCTGCGGCCTTTTGGTCTTCTCCTTTTTCTTTCATTCTCCTTTCCCTCCTTTCCTCTCTCCTCTCCCCTTCTCCTCTTCATCTTTTTGCTCCTTCGCCAAGATACCACCTTATACCAAACCCTCTCCGTACGGTACAGAACGCGGTTTGTTTCCCGACCCCATTCACCTTGTCAATCTGGCTCCGTTGCTGTCCTTCAAAATAGCTCCGGTACTTTGTGATCGACTACCCATTGATCCGTCTACGCGTGGACCGTTCCCGCTACTGCCCTCCCCACCTTGCCCGGCTCTACCCCATTGCAATCGACAATCGTCGACCTCGTCCCGAGTACTTCAAAGATCGGTTAGTATCTCGGTCTGATGCTACCAAGTCTGCCAATTCTCATCATGTGTTTCTGTCAATTTCGCTACAAGTGAAAAACTAACAAGCGCACCACTTGCAAGGTTAAAAGGGCAAGCAACCATTCTTCCATCGCCTTGCAATATCCCGGTGTCGGAAACAGTGAGGCCCCGAGATATCCAATGCACTAACAGGATCCTTTTTGAGCTTCAGCCTTCGCCCCGTCCATCCCTGTACTTCTGGGACAACCCCACTGTGCAAATCATCAGTCACCCTAACAATACCAGGGTCTCACGGACTTGTAAGTCGTCTAGTCTTTTGTCTTACCATAACAACAATTCCCTATTTTCACATTTGATCCTTGCCCTAAGCCATTTCTGCGCCTCAACACGCTCGCAAATTCATCTTGTACATTATCGCAGCGCCTGCCCCCGCCACTCACAGTTGACCTTGGCTAGACTATTGGGCCCTGACAGGCTCGCAAGGAAACAGCAACGCCAAAGCAGTTTCATTACGAATAAAGCGTGCTTATGCCTGATGTCTCAAGCGGTCGTTATCTGTTCGCGTAGACTCAAAGTGGAGTCATGAGAAGGAACTTGACGTGTTTACAAAGCGGCTTCTGACGGAAGCTGGGACGGCACTGCTCGTCATGTCTGCATCTTTCCCACCGAAGTGCTCCTTTCGCACGTATACCATACCCTCAAAGACCATCTGCATTTCGAGGATCTTTGTTTTGTTTTATTTCACAGTATTTCTTTTCTACTTTCCCGTCTCAATCTCATCCACTACTGGAGTTGCATTGTCTTTCATTTTCAACGCCTATTGCTCCCTGCACGCTGTTTTATTCCTTTTTTTGCCTACCCTTGTCGGCTTTGTGCGATTGCTCCGTACTCACCGTTTCAACCAATCAAACAAGCCACTAACTGTCTTCCCACACTAGCTTTTCCGTAGAAGTGCCACTCCCCCACCACTGCCAGCCCACACAAATTCTTCCTCACGCGCCGCCAACAAAAACGTCCCCTCACTTTTTTGTTTGGGTTTTCCATCAACCCTCTTCTCTCTCCAACAAGAACAAAAGACAACTACATCCCATCTTCTGACCGGCATCACCCTCTCCTTCCTTCCCCTCTCCCACCTCCCTCCTCCCCGACCTCACCGACTCACTTTATTCTCCCTCACGTCTTCTCTATCCCGTCTTCTTTCTGCCTCCCTTCGTCTCACTTCTCGCGACCCTACGGCCACCTCTTTCTTCCGCCAACTTCCCCGCTTCTTCGTCTCACACCACCTCCCTCGAAACATATCCCCCAAACAACAAAATGTCTGCTCAAGATGGCAACGGCAACGATGTCGCGGACCTCTCCGACCATATGAAGATCGATGACGACCGCCTCGGCCCCGACGGCGAGATCATCCCCAAGACCGACGAAGAATATGCGCAGACCCAGCTGACGTTGCGCGCGATCGTTTCGTCAAAGGAAGCCGGTGTTATCATCGGCAAGGCCGGCAAGAATGTCGCAGACCTTCGCGACGAGACCGGTGTCAAGGCCGGTGTCAGCAAAGTCGTTCAGGGTGTGCACGACCGCGTCCTGACCATCACTGGCGGCTGCGAGGCCATCGCAAAGGCCTACTCCATTGTGGCAGCTGCCCTTCTCGAAGGTGTTCCGACCATGGGCATGGGTGGTGTCGTCCAAGGAAACGGTACTCATCGTAAGTCGATGCGACGTCCCGCTCTTGCAATTATTACCTGGATTACTCACTACATATATTTCTCCATGTACTAACCAAGCCAGCCATCAAACTACTTATCTCTCACAATCAGATGGGCACCATCATCGGCCGTGGCGGCCTGAAGATCAAGCACATCCAGGATGCTTCCGGCGTTCGCATGGTTGCCCAAAAGGACATGCTCCCCCAATCGACGGAGCGCATTGTCGAGATTCAAGGCACCCCCGACGGTATCCGCAGCGCCATCTGGGAAATCTGCAAGTGCCTCGTCGATGATTGGCAACGCGGTACGGGCACCGTTCTGTACAACCCTGCTGTTCGCACCCAAAGCGGCAGCGCCCCGACCGTTTCGTCTGCTCCGTCTTCGAGCTTCAACTCTGCGCCGCGCGGTGATTACGGCAACTCGTCCCGTGTGACGCGCACAGGAAATGGCGCTGATTTCAGCAACGGTGGCGCTCCTCGTTCGAACAACCGCCGGTCTGACTCGGACGCTGCTGCCCGTGGCCCCCCCACGCAGGATGAGCATGGAGCTGAGCTCCAGACGCAGAACATCAGCATCCCCGCTGACATGGTGGGCTGCATTATTGGACGTGCGGGTACTAAGATCAGCGAGATTCGCAAGACTTCTGGTGCACGGATCTCCATTGCAAAGGTATGTTGGCAGCCAGTCCCGTAGCCTCGAAATACTCAGGTACAACAGACGACTAACGTAGATTAGGCACCTCACGATGAGACTGGTGAGAGAATGTTCACCATCATGGGAACCTCCAAGGCGAATGAAACGGCACTTTTCCTCCTGTACGAAAACCTCGAGGCCGAGAAGATGCGCAGAAGCCAGGCTGTGCAGTCTCCTGAGTAATTGCGACCATCCCGATTGGCGGCTATCCAACCCGCCTTCCTTCATCCTTGGTACAGCAAGAACCATGGTTGACTTTGTTGACGTTTCCTTGTATCTTTCCTCCGGCGTCTCTCCTGATAATATTTATTTTCTACTCGATTTCGGCAACCCTTCGACCTTTGATTCATCACCAGATCCGGCTTGCCGCGAGGCTGAACTTTTTTCTTAACGGCGAGCCCTCGAGGGCGGTACAAAAATGATAATACGACAAGGCTCATCGATTTACTCTGCGCGTGTTTGCACCGGCTAACTCTTATTTTTCCTTTCCCATGTTCCTCGTTCTTTTGCCCTGTTCACTGAAAAACTATGCCTCGTCGGCACGCTCCCCTGTCTTATTTACCCTGTTTCCCTGTCTTTGTCAAAGTGGTTTTGCTTCCTTTCCCTCTACCACAAATCGTTCTTCTCGAATGCTCAGTCGACATTTTACTACAGCGGTCTTAACGTTCTGCAATGGCGAAGCTGGTTGGGCATGGATGGTCAAAAAGGGTGTTTATTTGTTTTGTTTTTAACAATTTGCTTACTTTGTCTCGGCGATGATTTATGATTTTTCCAATCCACCAAAAAAACAAGAGGAGATGACAGAACAACTCTCCCTGGAACGTTTTTCACCTCACTCACACTCCCTCCGGCAATTTTTCTATCTGTCCGCCTCGCTTCTTTCGTCCCGATATTTTCAAACTCCTGTTCTCCTAGTCGTCAGATATCTTTTAGGCCAAAACTGTATCTCACCGAGCACACGAGAAACGTCCCACTCTCGTCTTTAAATGGTTTCCTACTCGGATTATCAACCCGCGCTCTCATGTCAACCCTTCTTCTCCCTTCTCCGTCGGTCATTTCGCCTCAGACCTACGAAACACGCGTTCGAGCATGTAACCCCTCGCGTAGCTTTATTTCGATGGCTTTAATGAGGAACCGGGGACTAGGTGACAATGGATAGCCATGAGTTCGCCAGTGTCTATTTTTTTTTGTCTTGTCTCCGCTCACTCTCGATACTATCCAAATTATTCAAATTTTCCGTTCATATTATTCTGAGTTGTTGTGTGCCGGCGTTCAATGTACATGTTTACCTCGCATCAACGACAGACTCTCAAATAAAATGGTCGAAGCAGGCCCAAAAGGAATTGACAGAAATAAAACTCAAAACGTTGCAGAAAGAAAGACATTTCTCCAGGTGACAGTTTATTTGCGGTGCCTTGTGAAGTTGGGTTCTGATATTCACTGTAGTGCTGAACCACCGTTATCAACAGAAGGCTACAAATAGCAAGGAGACCCACCCACACCGCCTTCTGAAAACGGCCTGAAGGGCCACCTGGCTGGATTCGTTTCTGCCACCACTTTCCCCCCCGAATCCTCAATGCCAGGCTGTCCGCTCAACTACTAAGGAGCAACCTCAAATCAACGCGCTGCCACGCGCAAAGCCTCATTATTCTCGCCTAGCGCAGCAGCCCTCAACGATACTGTAGTGGCGTGTACATCTTGCCGCTCCTTTCATCTTTGGTCTTCCGTACTTCGTTGCTCTTTTCTTTTCTGTAAACTGGACTTTCTAATCCTTTCTGTCCGTGCGAACCGTATCGACACTCCCGGAAGCCGCTGGCGGTCGTCCTAGCTCTCATTGCAACACACACTCTCCTTCAATCCCTCCTCGTCCTTTTCGACTTCCAGAATGGCGCGCACCAAGCAGGCGGCGCCTGTCCGTCGCGAGCCATCATCCGAGTATGTCAGCAAGCTTGACCGGGAAGCAGCCTTATTGGCGAAGCAGCAAGAAGCCAACGGTCAAACTGCGACGGCAGCGGGCGGCTCGAATGGCGCTGCAACTGCCAAGGCCGGATCAAGCGGCGCATCGCAAAAGAGCGCCGCGGGGATGCGGCAGGCTGCCATTGCCGTGGCTGGCATCTACGGGTCTTTGTAAGTGCGACGTCCGACAACCAGGCCCACTGGGCAAACGAATCCCGACACATGCTAACCTCACTGGCAGCCTGACATGGGGCTACCTGCAGGAGAAGCTGACCACGACAACGTACCCGGCGCCCATTGTTGCCAACCGCGACCCGGCCAATGCCACCGAGGTCTTCCATTTTCCCGTTTTTCTGAATACCGTCCAGTCCGCCATGGCCGCCGTCACCGGCATGCTGTACCTCTGGGCCACCACGCCCACCGGCACGCCCTTGCCCCCGATCATCCCGTCTGCGCGCCTCTTGCTGCCGCTGCTGCTCGTCGCCCTCACCTCGTCCCTCGCCTCGCCCTTTGGCTACGCCGCCCTCGGCCATATTGACTACATCACCTACATTCTGGCCAAGTCCTGCAAGCTGCTGCCCGTCATGTTCTTGCACGTCACCCTCTTCCGTCGCCGCTACCCGCTCTACAAGTACATGGTCGTCGCGGCCGTCACGGCCGGCGTCGCCGTCTTTACGCTGCACACGGGGAGCCACAAGAAGAGAGCGTCTTCGTCCTCCTCCTCGGGCACGGGCCACACCGCCTGGGGCCTCTTGCTGCTCGGCATCAACCTGCTGTTTGACGGCCTTACCAACAGCACCCAGGATTACATCTTTGGCGCCTTCCAGCCCTTTTCGGGCCCCCAGATGATGTGCGCCAACAGCCTCATGCAGACCGCCGTGACCGGCGCCTACCTGCTGGTCGTCAGCCCCTTGCTCGTGCACTCTGGCGTTGGCGCCTGGCTCGGCGCCGTCGACGAGGTTGCTACATCTGTTGGCCACGGAGTCGCTGCCGCCGCCACCACGGGGCTCTGGGGCACCAACCTCGGCAGCGGCGAGCTGGCCGCGGCCCTCGAGTTTATGCAGCGCCACCCGTCCGTCTGGCGGGACGTGCTGGGCTTCGCGGCGTGCGGCGCCGTCGGCCAGATCTTCATCTTTTACGCCCTCGCCACCTTCTCGTCCGTCTTTTTGGTCACAGTCACAGTCACGCGCAAGATGTGCACAATGATGCTGTCCGTGGTGGCCTTTGGTCACCGGCTGTCAGGGATGCAGTGGCTGGGTGTTGGCCTGGTGTTTGGCGGCATCGGTGTTGAGGCACAGATTGCGCGGACCGAGAAACTCAAGAAGGAGGCAGCCAAGGCGGGGAAGACGCAGTAGAAGGCGAGGGGGCGAGAACAACACGGAGTTTTATGCGAAGAGACCAGTGCATGGAGAGCATGCATCTGCCGTTGCAAACAGTTACCATTTATTTGTCTTGTGCACCACTTGGCATTCCCATTTCTAGAAACGACGTGTCCGCGACAACGGAGATGTCAACTTACATGTACATATAAATTATATTTAGAACGTAAAATATAAAAGAACAAGAAGAAATTTATAAGCGAGCCGAGCTTGGAAGGCGGTTTCTGACTGTAAGCTGCGTGAATGATGTAGAGCAATTCCGTTCTATTTTTGAGTTCTTGGCTTGTATATTTCCTCAAATATAAATAGGACTTCTAAAAATAGTGAAGTATTATTTTTCTTTTAATTGACAGGAAACAATATTTACATTTTTATCGCCCTACATACCTTGAGTAAACAAATAAACAGTGGGACAAAATGAAAAGAGAAGACAAGAAAAGACAAAGGAGCTTGAAGGGCTATATGTGCAATGCAAGTAGTAGAACAGGAAGAACCGTGGCCCATATGGACTACGCACCACTAACTAATAATTGGTGTTTACATATATGCGACGGCGGAATGGCCTGTTTGTAGTGTCATAACTCTTCTCAAGCACCTTCAAGTACATAGAAATAATATTTATGATTTGTTATTGAGGTAAAAGATAATGATACACTAAAGGTTTGGACGAGGTTTTCAGAAATGCAAAAGCCTGCGCCCTATTTATCACCCTGGCTCGCCAGAAATATGAAGCCAGATCGGACTAAATATTGAACACCTCCCGTCCTGATACCACCACTTGTCGCCAACCCCCACACCCCCCAATGGAAAACAAATGAAACTTCACACACAGAAAAGATGGACAACGCCAGCAAACAAATAAAAGAAAAACACCGGCTAAAAACGCTCGCTGGCAACGGGGTGTCCCCCCTCCTCTTCTTACTCAAGGGAGGGGAGGCCACTCCTTTTTCATTCATATGAATTCATCAATGGAACGCACAATAGGCGTTTCGCCCTTGGTGGGCGGGCTGCGTGGATCGTCCACCTGCGTGGGCCGGCCAAACGGGAAAAAGGGATCGCGCGGAAACATGGTCTCGCGTGGGGAGAAGAGTTCGTTGGAAATCTCTTTGTCCATGTCGTCAACCAGCGTGGGCCGCGCCTCGACAAAGTGCATGCCCCCCGCCGACGACATCTCGGCGTACTGCTGGTGGTCGGCCAACTGGTCGTGCAGTGGGTTGTTCGTCATGGTCTCTGCACGCGGCGACATGAGCGGCTCATCATCGTCCACATATGCGGGGCGGATTGTGATCGACTGCTCCGGTTTCGGTGATGGCTTGACGATGATGCTGGGGAGATTGAAGAATGACGTCTTGAAGGTAGGCGCAGGCGGAGCATTGGTCGTAGTGGTATTGGTATTGGTAGTGGTAGTAGTTCTAGCAATATTGGTGGCGGTGGTCTTGAGAGGGTTGCTGTAGTTGATAGGCCTCAAAGGAGGAGGGTCCATGTTCCGAGCTAGGATGCTGTCCAGGCCATCGCTACAAGAGCTACGCGGTGGCGGGAAGCCAGGGCTGAGAAGCGGGAATCCAGACGACGAAGGGTTCGAATATGAGCTGCCGGGGAACTCCCCAAAGCGATGCGCGGCAAAGCCAGGCGAAGGTGGCGGGCGCATGAAACCACCACCCGTACCGTTGCCACCACCTGGCAGAGTCAGACCGCCGCTGCCGCCAAAGGTCTGGGCCTGGGACAAGGGCGGGGCATTCAATTTCGGTGGCTGAAGACCAGTCGACGTGAAACCAAAGTCGAACCGGCCGAACCGCTGCGGGTCGCTTTCATCCTCCTTCTCATCCCACGAAAAGCTGGATGGTGCCGAGGATGGGCCCGGCGAGATGGGTTCCCGGCTGTTTGGCGTCGAGTTGCCGCGTGGCCGCATGGGACTTCTCTCCGGACTGTTTATTGTGGCACTACCGCTTCCATTTGCATCCTCGGCGGGAAGTGGTGCAGATAGGGGCTCCTTGGGCGATATTTCAATCGCGTCCATGGAGAGCGCTGCACGGTGCTTGGTCGGACTCCGGCCTGGCCGGAGCCAGGAATTCGAGCCTCTCCGCTTTCTGACCTCCTTTTGGAAATCCTGCAGGCAGTACATCAGCCGCATATTGGGGCTGATCCATCTACTCTTGGCTTGAGCCGCGTAGTAGGAGTCATTGACAGTCAGCTCTGGATTCTGGTACATGCCGTACGCGATGATCAGACTGGCCGATCGACTCGCGCCCTGTTGGCAGTGGATCAGAACCTTCTTCCCTTCCTTCGTGCGCTTGTCGATCGCTTCGCAGAGCATCATGAGGTCCTGGCCAATGTCGGTATTATGGTCCCACGGAATGTGGATGTACTCGGGCTCTTGCAAGGTTTGGGTGGCCTTCGGGGTAGTGGGGGTGTTGTCCTCATTGCCTGCCTCTGTCGCACTAGTAGACGGCTCGGCCAGCGTCAGAGACAATGCCGGCGCTTTTCGCTTGAGGCGGGACGAAGTGGCGGCATGCGAAGCCTCCAACCTTTTGGTGGTAGGCTCCGTCACTATAGGAATACTCCCGTTGACTTGCTCGCATTCAGCCGCAGGCTCAGCTTCTTGCTCCATGGCCGGTTCCATAATCGGGGCCAGTTTGGGCACCGCATTTCTCGGCTCGTTCAGCCGAGGCGGTGACAGTTGATGTTGCTGTTGCTGCTGCTGCTGCTGCTGTTGTGGTGGGAGCGGGTTTGACTGCGCCTGGGTTTGTTTGGCGTTCGACTTGAATGGGTTCTTCACCTCGCGAGCGACATTGATGACAACATCAAAGCGCGAAGCCTCTTCTGCTGTCGGCTCGAGGTACAAAAACACATTGTCATCGTAAATAGCGATCGGGCCATCGGGGTAGCCGGGCGTCTTCTGGTCCTCATTATTCTCGACCTCATGGTACGGCTCAAACTCGTACGCGGCACGATTTGCAATCTGCGCGCGAATTGGCGACTCCTCCTCAAGAATAGTGGCGTCCAACCCGACCGGACCAGCCGGTTTGGAAGGGCGCAAGAATTCAGAGAGGCCCGACTCATTGCGCTCGAGAACGGTGGGGAAAGTCATGCCGCCTGGCGGACCAAATGTCGAGGAGTTGAGCGATGACAAGATGTGTGGCGAGGACGTCGAGTGCTTCAGCGCGCGTCGCTGGAGGATGGGCGGAATGGCCAAGGATGGCGACTGAGGCACCTCAATTGCCGTGGACTTGACAAGGTCGTGGGTGGTGGTCTTCAAGCTGAGCTGGCTGGGTTTACGCTTCATGGCGGGGATCTGAGGCTTGATGAAAGATGGTGATGTCGGTTCAGAAATCTGCGTCGACGTAGGCAATGTCGGTGACACGAATGGCGGCTGGATGGACAGACCCTTCATGTTGCGCCGCCTTGGCGACGGTGAGGTCATGGGGCGCTCAAGGCCTTGGCCGCCATTGTTGTTGTTGCTGTTGGTGGTGTTGCCGTTATTCGGGTCAATGACTGACAAAGAGGCCAAACCAGTCGACATGGAAGCGAAACCGCCAAACGAGGGGCCAGGGAAGGCGGCAAGCGGAAGGAGGTTTATTGGTGAGTCGGGCGAGGACGACGGCGACGGGTCAGAGAGAGAGGACGAGTCTGTGCATGACATTGTGGTTGTGGGCGACGAGTCAGCCGACTCGGACATTTGTGTCGACGTGCTGTCGTGGTGGCGGTGCGACGGATCGGAGAGTGGCGGTGGTGCAGCGGGGCCCGTCGTGCTTGCGGAGGATGGGTGAGTGAGGCTGGACAGCTGCTTCTCGGCGAAGCTGGAGCTGGGGAAGCCTATTATTTTGGGGTCGACAACGGTGACAGTGCTTTGGTCGTCCATCGTCTCGGCACCCAGATCGAAGACGGACATAAAGGACGGTATTTGGTCCTCGTATAATCGCCGTGCGGTGGCCGAAGGCATTGTCGGAAAGGGAGGCGGCGGAAGTCGGGAGCGTTGAGAGGGAGAGGAAGAGGAAAAGGATGGCCTTTGTTCGTTTGGGGAGCCGCTGGGTGTGCCGTTCGGCCTTGTCGGCAAGGAGCCGGCGCGGTCGTTGGGAGCCTCCAGGTTTGCTTCTGCTGCGTCAAGACCCGGTACGCGCCAACCGCCTGGGTATTTGTGCTGCCCCGGAGAAGAAGCGGGAGAAAGAAGAGGGAGAGCGATGAAGTATTAAACGTGTTGCAAAAGCCGAGAGGGTTGGATTTGTCGCAGAGAGAACCAGTAACGCAGCGAACAATAAGGTTATTAGGGCGGGTTTGTTGGGTCGAGAGAGAAACGGCAGAGAAGCGAAGCAACAGTCGAGAGAGGGCAGGTTGAAAGACAAAGGCCGGCCAAAAGAGAAAAAAGAAAAAGAAGAAAAAAAAGAGTCCAAAAGCAAAGCGACGTCTGGTCTAAGAAGATTCTAACACATTGTCGGTTGTGCCGTTGCAAGGTCAAAAGGCGGAGCCCCGCGGAGGATGAGGAAAAACGAGTAGAATGGAAAGAAGAGAGGTAAGCCAACAAGGACGAAGGGACAAAAAGCGGACGCGAAACGAGGCGGAGGAGAGAGATGGGCGAGCGCAAGTCGATGGTGATGCCGGCGTCGTCGTCTGCTGGCTCGCTCGTAGCGTGCTCGATGGGAGGGTTGGTGATGATGTCCCGGGGGGGAGAAGAAAAGAAGAAAACAAGTCAAGGTGTAAGGAAAACAAACAGACGAGTGCAAAGAGCGAGCGAAAAGACAAACAGGTTGGGCGAGGGTGAGTGCCGGAGAAAAGACGAAAGGACAAGAAGACAGCCAGAAAACAGATTTGGCTGGTGCTGGGTGCCAATGACAGGGGACAAGGGAGGAAGGAGGAGGGGGAACAAAGAGAGAAACGGGGGAAAGAGGCGGCGGGTGAGATGTGAGGCGTTGTGTGTGTGCGCCAGACAGTTTGTGAACGCTGAACAGAACAGGAAAGAGCCACCAGCGCCAGGCGGTTCGGTCTGCCTTTGTTCAGCAACAGGAGGGAGACGGACAGGGGTTTGCCTAGGAATTGGAAGGGGATGTGGATGATTGGAGGGTGGTGGAGTTCTTTGTGGAGAGGGAAAGCGCGAGCGACAACGACAAGACGGAGAAAGAACGAGGGTGGGATGGACGGCCAGAACGACGGCTGTTGGTGCTGAAGAAACGGGGGCCTTCTTTCTCGCCCGAGGAGCGGGAAGGCCTGCGAATAGGGACAAAGTACATTCGTATGTTGTATTCCGTTCTCCGACTGTTTCTGTGCAAATGAGGGGAGCGGCAGGAGCGACGGACAACCGCCACGGGTCTGGTATGGCAGTCACGACCAACCACTGACTGTGCACATGTATCGTTACTTTTAGGAACAAAGGGCAGGTGCGATGGACGGGCCCAAAACAAAAGGATTAGGATCGAGGGTTCCAGGTCGAGGGCCGAACGTCGAGTGCGCGCGTGGCAAAGATGACAAGTAAGATCTGCGTCTAGTAGGGGAAGGCGAGGGGGCAAGAAGGATGGCAGAAGGACAGTGCCTCGAGTGCTTTGCATGCGCTCAACAGAGAGAGAAACAGTTTCAAGAGGATCGGATCAGGATGAGAAGGCGCAACGCGAAGTGAAAAGCGGGTCTCGCATGGGCGGTTTGCCTGTCGTTCCTTCTGTCGTCTTCGTTTCTGCTGCTGTTCGCAGTGGCCAGTCGCAATCGCCCTGTACGTCGTGCGCGGGAAAGCCAAGGAAGTTGTCGTGTTGGAGCGTGCATGCTGAGGCTTACTGGTAAGGCGCCCCACAGTACTAAGTGGTTGCCCAATCAGCACCCACAGCGCCGGCGTCTGGAACAACCCTCCCCTGTCCGGGCGGCCAATCACCACGCGGCAATCTGCTGGAACAGTGTTTCGACTGGTTCTGGCGCCTACTAAAAATAGAACGTCCAACCAATGGGCGTCGATGCCCGAAATTTAAAGACGTGAGAGGGAAGGCGAGGGGGCCACTATTAAGGAGAGGGACGAGGAGGCACCCTTTCCGTCGCAGCGGGAAGGTGCAGTTCGTGCGGTCGTTGCGGGCTTTTTCTACATTTGCATGGCGACTTGTCTGGCTTCTGCATCGGACGGCTTTCGACCATTCAAACGTCCTTACTCGGACCCGGCCGTTTGTTGGTTCCGCGACGTGTTTTGCAGCTTTTAATTGTCCAGGCTTGGCCTCACCCTCTGGCCGCGTCCTCGTCCCGTCCTCTTTACATGCGACTCGCGGCGGCCGTTCTGCTTGAACGAATACATAAATAGAGCCTGTGATATTAAGAGCATTTGGGAGCCAGAAATAGACGCGCCTGCTCCTTTTCATTACCGTTGCCGCCTGTGGCGTATTACCTGTTGCCTTGCTAGTCACACTGTATTACTGAGCAGGCCGTGTGCCGTCTATGCTTCGACGGGCCTGGCCGGTTCCCTGTGGAATGCATGGCAAGACGCTGAGACGCCAGCAAGACGAGGAACGAGAGCGACTGCTCCCATACTGTGACATTTTACGGAGTGCTGCGCAAGTGATGGCCTGGCGTATCGTACCCCTGGCTGTCGTCCACAACACAGCAGGCCGCTGTTCTGCCCTGCTTGTCCTGCACCGAAACCCTGCCCCTGCCTGTCTGGCCGCTTGTCGCACTCCACTTGCTCGTCGCCGCTCGTCATTCTGACCCTCAACATCCTTGCTTGTTTCTTAACTGACCCGAGGTACGCTGGTACGATTTATCGACTTTTTTGTTTCCCATACGGAGTTTTTATTTTTATTTGTCTTTCCAGGATCTGGCCTTTGACACTAATTTCTCAGTTCTAGGTCCGAGGTCTGTTTACTATTTTCAGGTTCGTCTGGCTCGACTTGGACTGGGCAGGCTGGCTGACAAAAATGCATTGCGACAGTGAGTACGACGTACGTCGTAAGATTAGTACTCCCGACAAAAATGTGCTTGGCTGGCCTCTGAGCAATTTTTGCATGTGTGGTGGATTGCTGGATTGCTGTCATCGACCTGTCAATGCCATGGAAAGACCGCCGTACGATCTCGTCCCAAGTCGACTGTTTCGCCGCCTGTCATACCTCCTGACGCGACGGGGCCATGGGGCCATGGTACGCTGATGTACCCCTGAACGGAGAGGAACGGGGGCAAAAGAAGAGAAACCAGGCCAGTCCCATTGGTCTTGATGCACTGTTTTGCGGGTGCTTCCCGGGGCTTTTGGTGTTTCTTGCGTTTCTGATGCTTCGTTGCTGGAACAAAAGCCATAAAACGCATGCTTCCCGACCATGGGCTTTCCCTGATTGCCGTCTGCTTGTCCGTCTCCTGATTGCCTTTGGATATGCGACGAAAGGAGAGCTGTAGGGGGGCCCTGCATTGGGGACTCTCATGCTCCTTACGATGTGTTTTCAACGTTCGATGCACAAGGTGAAGGGAAACAAGACCTTTGGAAGAAACAATGCTGCAGTAGTCACTGACTAGGGCCTGGCCGCCCTCGGCCCCGTCTCCCCGACCTATCGTACACATCTTCAGACACACCTCGGACGCACGTTCGCATGAGTAAGATGCATCGTGTAATGAAGCTCCTCCTTCCTGCATTAAAGAGGGACTTCTGGGGAATGCGCGCCTTCACCGCTTCACAAACTGTGTATTGCACACAAAATGGCAACAAAAGGTTTTTGCTTAAAAGGGTACCTTCGCTTCCGGGTTTTGTCGAAAGCGAATCCCTAACACTATTACGCTATGACGTCTTCCATACTGCACGTCTCTGGGCTTCCGCTGTTTTGAATGGCATCGAATAGAAGAATACGATGTAGAATATTGGTACGTATACGTATCCTTTCCGACATTAGAAGAAAACGACACGTTCCTGGCTCATCCCAGCTGTTCCCTGTCTGCCTTGGGAAGACGCGAACTGGCCCTAAAACATTATTTTACCCCCGTCAAGGGCAGACACGCGACTCTCACTGTAACTACGATGTATCTCACAGACTGGGCCACTCTGGTCGTGGAGAATCGGCGGCATGAAATACGTCGTATGCGAAATATGATATCATGAAAATAAAGAACTGGAGACAATTTTTGTCGTTTTGGTAACGATTAAATGAGACAGAGGCGGGAAACAGTGGGCGTCGAATCTTCAGCATCTGGGCCCAAGGTAGCCTTAGATTGCCTCAGTATTTTCCGTGCTGAGATGTGATGTAATCTAGTGTGCTGTTTTTAAAGACAGTGTAAAGATATTCGATCGCAATTTAAGAGAGACAGAATTTCAAGCTCAATGTTTGATTTTGTCATCTTCGTCCGGCTCACTCAAAGCAAAACGACACCTCAAAAAGAGTAGATGCCGCCAGCTCTGGAAAGCGGCAAGGCTGTGCTTCTTGTCTGGACTTTCTCTTCGATTTAATATCCACTCTGGCGCCCTGAGCCGCCAAGTGCCACTTGTTGTGTGTGCCTCCAAATATAACAGGGTTGAACAAGACAGTGTTTGCCCCGGACAAAATCTGAAACGCAGCCAATTTGGCTTGCTTCCCACCCATTTTTTTTTCCTTCTTGAGATGGAGGAGGGAGGGTCCAGATTGGATCCACTCGCACGGACAGAGCCAGCATTTGTGTGCTCTCACATGTCCTCGATCTTTTGAATTATTTTCAAGCATCGCTACCTTTTCCTTACTGATTTATTTGAAGTTTTATTTTGGTGACGATTTCTTTAGCGACGTATTTTGGTGCCCGAGCTCCTAAACCGCTAGCGTTCCCGGGATGCTTTACACTCTGTGGAATCTAGCTAGCAAGTTCAAGGCATGCTCAATTCAGGGTCTATGTATTCTGTACGACGTATGTCGTAATACCTCCGTAAACTAAAACGAAATACCCACAATTTATCTCCCGTATTGCACCGTATTGTGTATTCTGTAGACATATGGATGGAAATTCCAAAGAGCGTGAAATAAATAAATAAATAAA